ATACAAAATGAAACGAAAAACACAAAAACACTCGGAAAACGACAAAATGGACCGGACCACCCTAAAACGAACCTAAAAATGACTCGATAACACATATAAACACATGAAAATAAGCACAAAAACATAACAAACAGTATCCTCGAGGCTCAGACTTATTCGTACTTCTTTTTTTAAATTTGAAATTCTGAAGTCCGTCTTTCCCTTCTATCTTATCTTGAGTTGATCAAATATAACAAATGTAAGTGTGCTCCTATCTCTACACCTTAATCTTAGACCCCTAGATAAAAATTACTAATCCAGTCTCCCCTAGAAAAGGTTCCTTAAAAATTAATGTGCTTTTTGGTGTTTTTGGTCACATTCCCTTTGAAGAAATAAAAAAAGTAGCCATTTTTATGAAAATGATAAAAATTGCTTCATCTTGCAAAAGAACAATATCATTTCTCACTCCCGGATTCTCCATCTCTTATTTGGACTTCTCCAGTTCAATGTATCAACAATTCTTTTTTAAGACACGATAGGAAGTACTTATATTCACAACAAAATCGGGACAAAAAAGAATAGCTGTTCAGCCGAATATACAACCAACGACCGAATAAGCTGAACAACTGACTCTTGTAGAGAGGTCTACACTTACAAGCAGACGGCAGCCTAGAGTCAACCTACAACACACAACACAACTAAAAAAATTCCCAAAAAGAAAATAAACCAATAGCTCCCAACAGTAGAATACACCAAATATCCTCCTAACATGAGAGAAGAAGAAAAACACAAACAAAACTAAACGAACAACAACACACAAACGCTAACCACCTAAACATAACTTAAAGACGAAAAGAACGCTATTAAAGCATCGAAACATTCCTCCCCGCAGCAGACAAACTACTAGCTATACCACGGCAACGCGAACAGATCTCCATCCATAAGACCGAGCCACAACCCCGGAGTCCGATCTAGAAACTGCAATAGAACGCCTAACTAAATCTGACACAAACGACCCCAACCCAATCCGGACGAACACCCCAGCCCTAGCCCAGATACCCGAACCTCAACCACCCACAGTCGACAGCATTGACAGGCCCAAATCACTACAACCCAGACTGAGGTCTGGCCACGACTGCCGACCCCTTCGTCCAACACCAGGAAGAAAAGGAGCACGGTGAAGGAAGTCGGACTGTCCACCCCAAATCCCCCCATCCAACCGCCACCCAACACCGATGAATCACCGTGGAAAAAACAGAATCGCCCTCTCTTTGATCTGGAGTCCTCCAATTCGATGTATCAATATTCAATATTCACACAAGAATTAAACACCCATCAAACACGAATATATCAACCTTCAATATTCACATGGGATTAAACACCCATTGATCTTGAATACACAGACAAAACTGATGATGATAATAGGATTCATCATATATGTGGTTTTGCTAAATGCTCCTTTAATATCTCAAGAAACGGTTTAATTTCTAGGATTCATCATATATGTGGTTTTGCTAAATGCTCCCTTAATATCTCAAGAAACGGTTTAATTTTTAAACAAAATCAGTTCATTATTAAATCATCCTCTTGGAAAATAGAATCTGCTACTTAGTTTGTCACCAAAGGTTTTCTCAGTACATAACATAAACGAAAAAAAGGCAAAAATGATACTATCTCCAATTAATTCTTTTTAAATGTCATTTTTTGGCATCATCAACTATTAACAAACTAATGTCACTTTGAATATTTGTACATATTTTTCCATTAATACTTTCATCTAGCTAATAAATACACTACGTCTTTTTATATTCACTCTTCATATTTTCTCAGAACATTCATCTATATCCTCATTAATGAGGGTTATTATTGCCAAAAAGAAATATTCTTAGTAATTGTGCATTTCTCATAACAACACTTATGATGAATAGGAGAGAATAATAACTTTCTATTTCCAAACTGGCAAATAACTTAGATTAACTCAAAGGAGGTTCATACAATCGTAAAAATGATAATAACTCAGCCACTTGAGAATTGGGCAGGCACGCTTCAAGGAAGCCAAATCATAAAACAAATGAAATGAAAGTTGACAAATTACCCGTTCTGATTCGGGGCAGGCATCAACCAACCTGCTCCGTGGAATCAACGGGACGTAAACCAAAGGGGGACCAACAAAATTCAAGTGTTACTCCAGTCTTTATTTAAATAAAATTATACCACCCATTGAAATTGAAGGTGGAAAAAATAAAAAAAGGAAAGGTAACACCTTTATGAACGTCAACTCACACACACGTAGACATAAGATTACAAGAACAAAATAGAGGAAACAAACAAATAATCAAATTAAATTAACAAATCACAACCCGTACAGTTTCTCCAGGATCCACTTTGGAAGTCTGATAGGCTTCCTCGGGGTCTGCTTTTGAGGTCTCAGGGGCTTCCTCAGGCTCGTTGGGGTTTAGTTTGCTGTCTTCATGGGATTCCTCTGGTTGAGGATTGGACTCCAGAATTTGTTGTTGGGCTTCCACAAGACTCGCTGCTTTGGCATGGTGGAACTTGACAACAATGCACGTGATATTATCGGCACTTCCACGAGTGAAAGCAGTCTCGGTCAGTTTCCTAGCAGCGCCTTCAGGGTCGTCCTCGCTTTGTGCTATCGAGACGGCATCCTGAAAAGTAATTTTTGTAAGGTTATGAGTTTCTTTCTTTCTATGCGCGATTCTCTCGTTTTGTTCGATCTTTGCTACTAGTCTACGTGGTAATCTACGATGGTGGAGCTTTTGAGCTATCAGAGATGACAATTTGGATGATAAATTAGTCGAAATAACCAAATTTTTCTTTAAACAATGTCATCAAGAAGTGTGATGTTTGACTACGAAATAAATCAAATATTTATACCCAGAAGGCTGAAAAGAAACAAATATGACAGCTGAGTGCAAAAGGCGATATACCTCATTAGGTACAACATCCCAAAGTCCATCACTGGCAAGAACAAGCAAGTCAAGGTTTTCGTCAACCTCCAGGTCCTATTTGCATTTACATAGGTAAAAGCAAGCTTTTGATCAAAAATGCATAATTACTCTAATCAATAAAAACCAATTTATTACCATAATCACCAACCCAAGCAACAGTTAACTCTAAACCATAACACTACATTTATCAACAACCCAACCCAACCCAACCCGACGTAATAATTAAAAATTATTTCTCTCTCCCCCACTTACACAACCCAACCTTTCAACTCGAATTATCTTTATCCACAACACAACCCAACACAGCCTAACATATTTATTTTATTTTTATTTATTTAGAAATTATAAATGTGTTCCAAAACCTATCAAATGTGGTCTCTATTTATGGAGAATGAAAAAATATGAATTTTAATATTTTTTTTTATTTTTTTTTAACACAAGAAAAATACACTTGTCCTATCTCAAAACAAAACCGGGTCGCAACCCAATTGTGACCTGGGACGCACCACACATAACCTCCTCTCTTTTTTTTTTTTTTTTTTTTTGTCTTTTTCTCCCATGACCCAACTCTTGGGTCACGGATAAAGATAGTCTTGACTAATAATCCTTATTGAGTTACGACAAAAAAACTAAACCGCTATAACTAACATTCTGGGTACCTGAATCTCAGGCTCAGCCACAACAAACTGTTTAAGCATGCGATTGCCAAAAGCACGAGACATGGCCAAGACACCTCCAACCCTCCAAGTACCTGATACAAAAAAAAAGTAACTAAATTAAATACATATGTAATAAGTTAATAATGATAGTAGCAATAATGGAACACCATAGCTTCCTCCGAATATATGCGAATTTTGTGAAAGAACAGTAACATGTTATCATGATAACTCTCCTTTGACAAGGAACAGGTGCTTATTTTCGTTACCATACAATAAACATCACACTCAAGGATAAACTCACATTCACACAATGAAATGGAATAAGTCAATAAACCATCCATCATATACACCATGATTAAAAAAAAACGACTCAAGTTCATATTAGTAAAAGCCTATGATTAAGTCCATATTTCTTCCAACACTAAAACAGCTTCACAGATCACGTGACACCATTTTGAACGGAATAATTGTCTCATCTTGCATCTGCATATGGTCAAATTAGCACAGTAGTCTTGCATGAGGAAACCAAACCTGTCCACATGACAACACCTCCAGCACTTTCAATTCTCTTTCTCTCATCACTTCTATTTGGTTTGTGATCTTCTGATAGCGGGATTGCTGTGTAGCCAAAAGAACATATAGGAAAAGAAGAAAGTTCGTTAATAGCACTAATCGCCACATTAATTTGTCTTAAGTATCATAAACCCCAGGACAATCATTACTCACAAGTCATAACAGGAATAGTAAAGGAGGGATCATGGGTTAAAGATGTTTATAGAAGCATGGTTATCTAATATCTCATAACCAAATATTGGTCCATCATCCCAGTTCCTTGATGCCAATTTTTGTTAGTGAATTTAAGATGTCAATCATTTATCTACAACCAGTTCGGAGTGGATTAATTATCTGATAAAATTGCTACACAGATATAAATTTTCATCCCAAATAAGAAGACATGCAAAAAAAAAAAAAAAAAAAAAAAAAAAAAAAAAGAAAAAAGAAAGAAAAATCCATCACTTTGTTCAAAGTCATACATAATTATCTATTACCTTTCCCAGCCTTTGATATAATAGTTCGAGAATCACCAACATTAGCAACATATAGGTGATTGCCGACAAGAACTGCTGCTGAAGCAGTTGACCCATCATCTCGAAAGGTTTCCTTTTCAGAATCTAAAAAGTCCCTATCAGTTTGCTGATATGTTTCACCTGTGAGATTTGCATGAGTCATCTGGGTGCAATACTAAACTCAAAAAGGCAGATATCGAACAGGTAGAAAAAGGGAAAATACATAAAAGTTGGGTGCAGTAGCAAACTAATATTTTATTTTATGGCATCCTAAGATTAGCCAAAGACACCATGTATAAACAAAAAAGAAACTTTACATCCAATCGGTATCAACAATATTTGCTTATTTAGTAATAGACAAAAGAAATTATTGATAGGGTTCTTTCACTCACTTATGGCCAATTTCGTATTTGCAATAAACTCTGGGTGTTTCAGGAGATTCTCAAAGAGATGTTCCTTCAAATATTCCGCAGCACGAGCACCACCATGACCTGTTATGATGTAAAGTCCTCATTATAGGAGCAATATTACTTTTCGATTCCCATGATTAGAATAATAAACTATCTAAATGTTCAGAAAGTGTTTTGAATGAAGAAAGACGAAGCAGTTAGCTTCTGACTAGACAGATTTTTCTTACAAGCCATGTTCTAGCTCATTAGGTAAGCAACCAGCATTCTATCATATGTATTTCACAACTAATGTGAAGAATTAAGAAGATCAAAGATTTCTCAACAAGCAAACTCAATACTGCAAAATCCCCCATTTGTGACCAAATGTGGCTAATCTGTGTGCTCAAGAATTAATTTGTCCAAGTCAGAGAACGTGCAAATGCAACTAGTGCATTCATCTGCAGTCCAATTCTTTATTTTCCTAATAAAGTAAGCTTTAAAAAATTAAAAAAGGGAAGAGCTGACAGCTCACCATCAAATATGCCGAAGAGACAGACTGCCAGGCCGTCAACCTTAGAAGACTTGATGTCATAAAAGTCTTCCATGCTAACCCTCTTTCCTCTGAAGCTGGAATATCCGCAACTTAATGTACCATCTTCACTGCCAACCAAAAATTAGAGTAGACTTCAGCCAATGGTAATCACATATACATACTGCATGAAATGGGCAAGAATTATCCTAGAAGCACTGTCTAGATTTGCACTAGATAAAACAAGCACGCCATTCATCCAAGTGACTCCAGATATGGCAAGAGATACCATAAGATTTATTAACCTCTTTGTGTTGATGTTAATTAAATCAACATTGAACAAGCAGCATATTTTAAGATGAAGAAACATGAAAGGTAAAATATAAGAGCTGGAGAGCATGTAAAGATCATGTCCTACAGTCCTAGTACTTCATCAATACATCAATCTCAATTATGAGATTCCTTTACCATCTTCTGGAGTGCAACAAAATGTACCATAATAGAGAAATATAATTTTCATGCAATATCATACTGAACTACCCCAGCAAGAAGTTGTGGAAAATGAAAATCAAAGGCGCAAGAAAATAATAACAGATTCAGATCTGTTTATTCTCTATGCACGAATGTTACAGGAGAAAGGTCTGTGTCTGAATATGCAAGATATTTTTTTCAAGTTACGTATGGACTAAATATATATTATTGGGCACAACTAAATATCTGAAAACTTAAGTCTTATTTCCAGTATTAACAATACATTGTGAATATAGAGATAAACCAACCAGAAGTCCCACACAAAGAGATATCCAGTGTACTATCATTTCAGAGCATTTTGCATACCATCCTCAAAGATACTGTAGCTCAATGCCGCCGGTGAAAAAATAAAACAAGAAAACTCATGATGTAATGATTGCAAAAAAAAATCGAAGAAGCAAAACACAAACAAAAAGCATTCATCACTCCTTTCAAATGGGAACATAGATAACTGGATTCTTGGGGTTCATACAAAGAATATTTATAATGCACGAAAGTAAGGATGTGCATTTAATTCTTGCTACACATCTTCTCAAATGCAGAAAAGCATGTAATCTAACATAAATCTAACATAACTAATTTGTACGACCCACTGAAACTAAAACAGAGTAAGTTTATCACCTCAATCTTTTCTGGATTCTTCTGGAACAAAGAAACCCAAGAATAAAATTGAAAACCTAACAAGAAACATGCAACACATCCAAGATGAACTACCAAAGTTTTGATATTTTTTGCATAAAAAAATAAAAAATAATGTAAATGATATTAAAATAAAAAAAATAGCAACTAAAAACCCTCAATAAGCAGTCACCTCTTCCATCCTCCACTAGCATAGCCACCATCATCACCCTTCTCTGGTAAAATATCAAACATAGATCCTTCAGCAGAAGCACCAGAATCCACCATCATCTTTCTCGTATGTCCACGCTTACGAACCCAAAAATAATTCAGGCTTCGAGTGGCATTAAAACCTCCAGGTATATTGCTAAAATGTCTTTCTTCAGTGTACCTCCAAAAATGTCTCGTCCAAAGATTTACGGACCTCAAAAAAATGTTGCATAGCATCTAAAAAGGGAAAATAGAAAGGGAATCAGCATCATTGTTTCTACATCAGAGTTCCGAGCAATGGGTATGAATATAAGGTTCAAGATTGTGGAGTGCCCGAATTACGAACAAGTAAAATATATAACAGATAGAAATGAGAAACCAAAACCTGCACCTGCCACAATAATGCTTCCTTTTTTTTTTTTATCTTAAACAAGAAACCATTTCAGTAGTCAGTACTATCTTTCATCGGATCCAACTAGCACAAAACAAAACAAAAAAAATAAAGAAGACATCTTAGCTTTCTGATAAAAAAACGCAACCATTGAGATTATAATAAATATTCAGCACCCACAGCAGTTAATGAATCAATTTAACTTAACCAGACTCATAAATTGATCTGAAAAGGGAAAATTCTACTCGCACAGATATCTTTTGTTTGAAATTATATATCTTAAGTCGACTATATTAAAGCTTTTAACTCCCACATCAGCCAAAAACAACTAAAACAGCAGCTTCGATTAATGAAACAAAAGAACTACACATGACCAGCAAATAAACAGAAACGCATCACCCCATACACTCAAAGTAGCTGGCTCTTCGAGCAGCAAGCACACATCTGGAGATGCAGATTCGCAGCCATTGTCAACGTAAAGCTCACAACTTTCCTCGGAATCAAACAAAATACAGAGGATACGTATCTGCGGAAAGCAGACGAACAGATCGTTGATCAAATAGAATATCGCAGGAGATCCGAACCTGATTATCCGAATATGATCGGATTAAAGCCTTAACATTGCCGGCGAATAATCACGGCCGTGAAGAAAACGAGATAATGGAAAAGAAGTAATCCAGAAACCCTAGAAAATGCTATGCGATGATTGATGATAGCAAACACCAACAGCACACTATTGTTGTGGAAAATGAACCTTTTTGTTTTGATTTTGAAGTGGCAAATGCTAGAGAGAGCGAGAGAAGAGTGATTAAAACTCTCGTCACCGAAGGAGAAGTACGACGTGGCAATTCAAATGGTGCATTTTGACAAAGAGGGATCATATGTGTCGCATCCACTCATAAAAGGAATGTAAAATTAAGTTAAAAATAGCACATACAAATAATTTATAATTTAATCATATTTTCAATTTTGTTCATATATCATAATTTTTGCTCAGCGTCAAAATCTTTTTCACCCAATTATAAATCTATTTTTTCTTTTACACACCGCCCCATCAAATAACTTCTTTTACACCTCAAAACTCACGAAATACTATGCGATATTACACTCGCATGCCCAAATGAACCAGCGCATATCCAATCTACCGCATAATTTATGACAATGCGTAAACATTTCGCATTTTTTTAATCGCATATCCACATCAAACGCATAATTTAGAAATGGGCGAACATCTTTCCCATTTTTAATAATCGCATATACAAATCGATTGCAACATAATTTACGATGATTATGCGCCTTCTTATCGCAGGGCTATATCAACCTTGCAAATTTAT